TTTTGAAATAAGTTCTTGTACTTATTTTTCATAAAACATAGAACAGTAACTAAAGAAGTAAAGCCAACAATTATATCTTCTAGTTACGACCTTTGTACTCGGTTGCTTCTTGATGTAGGTTGCTAAGCCTTTAAAAAATTTGCATGTGGAGGATATGAAACAAAACATTTTTTTTAAGTTTTATATATACATTTGAATAACTAAAAAATCATAAATTATTACATGACTACCGTATAATTCCGTTATAATTTATCAAGCTTAGTAACTAAGATGTATTTTAGTCTAAAAAATATATGAAATTTCGAGCAGACAAAAGACACCCTACTGCTTTGAAATATTGGTTCAAAAGAAAGAAATGGTGGTTTCCAAAAACTTCTTTGATATTCTTTGTGGCTACAGAGGCATTGTTTCCCTTCTTGTATTCAAACAGCATTACATGCCAATTCTGTATCTTGTCATGTACCATTACTATAAGGGATTATAGTACACTAAACTTTACACATTATATAAGCTACACTAACATGACGTTTAGGCAGTTCATTTAACTATTATACATGATGTACATTTTTGGTTTTGGTTAATAAAAGTGGTCCAAAATGCGACATTAATTTCTTGACGACCTAATATTAAAGACATGTACATTTTAAATAGAAATTTTGAAAATTTTCTCAATAATCATTGAACATACAGACAAAAACAAAAACTAAGTTGTTATCTGTGTCATTAATTTACTAATATTACGTATATAAAACAGGAGATTTGGCAAAGTTCATGAAAGATATTTTCAAACTATTTCTAGTCATATCTTGACATTACATTCAGCTTTAGAAACCTACATCATCCAATTATCCACCATCATATTTTGGTTCACTTTTTGATTGCTGAGAACAATTCCTTGTCATCAAGTTCCCAGAGGTGTGCAAAGCTCACTCTAGTTGCTTGATGTTGACTATAAAAGTGAGATTTCAAGAGATGCATGAAACCAAAGATGATACCAGTCATGCTGTCACTCCTTTAACTCCTGTCACTATTGCAGCAACTAAAGAACTCCAGAACAGAGATTATGCCCATCAAACTTGATGATGTTAAAAGAGGCAGCAAGAAAAAATATGAAAGTATTTCATCATCTTCAACTCCAAGAACATCATTACTCTCCCCCTCCCCATTTTAAGTCACCAAATACCAACAGATGGCATGAAATTGACATTACTAAATTCATGTACAGAATGCTGCCTAATAAGAGGAGAAAGTTTGATTGCTTACTTGCTTTTGATAATTATACAAGCAGCACCCCTTTCCACATTCTTGAAAATACCTATATACAGGACCCTTCTCACACATTGCACCAAATGTATGGGTTTCTCAGCAGAAAATCAGTGTCTTACCCACGGATGTCTCTTATGGAACTATGATATCTAATGTTAGAGTAACATTTGCAGCCAAGGGACAATACATGTTATGGGAACCATCTACAGATTGTCCTTTATTTATTTAACAGCACTAATAAACCTTGACATAATGCAAGTTCAACTTGAAACATTATTTGTGACTTGTGGCATAATAAGAAATTTGCAGTTATGATGGGTAATGCAGCTAGAATAAAAACCATTTGAGAAGTGTTGATTAATAAGTACTACTCCTTTACTGTTATGACTGTACAGCTCAAACAATATACAGCTATTTACAGATGATGTAGGAAACTTGAAATAATTCTCATCATACCTGTGCAAGGGTAAAAATTCTTTGTTAATTCCATCTAACTGGACATAACCCTACTTTGCAAGATGTGAATTTTGGCTGGAGATGGCTTGAATGGGTAATGAAGAAAAACTTTAATATAAGTTTAACATAACAGCAAATGTACAAAGTTTCGACAACGTTTTGTCATCATCAGATTGTTAATTTGTTTAGATGTAATTCATAGCTTGCCTTATTAGATACTAATTATGTTGAAGATGAAGATTGGTGCCAGATAAAAGAACAAAACAGTAGTCAAACAAAACATCTACAAATAAGATACAGACAATATTTTTTCCAGCATTTATTTTCAGATATGAAAATATTGTACAAGTACAAAAAAAAAGGCATTTACGTTCCCCTTCTAAGTAATAGATTGAGCTTTGAGAGAACAGCCTAGCAAAAGAAATGAACATCTTTAAATAATTTAAAATAGTTTAGGTACAAATAGTCTGGTGCTCACTGCATTTATTTTACAGGTCAAGTACCCAAGGTTAATTTAATGGTTGAATCTCCCAACACAATAATGTTGTTAAGAATCTTAAACTATGATAAATTTACAAAATCAACTATTTTAAAACTTGTGTGATAAAATTATCACAGTGTATATGAATAGAAAGAATGCAATTTTAAGACTCTACAATAACTTCTTTATCTACTTAAAATAAACTATTTTCCTACCTTAGAGTAAAGAGTTGATTCCATTAAGTCATCTACTGTAAGACTTGTCAGGTTGGCACGTAAAACCATCCTCTCATTTGCCTTGAGAATATAATCACTTTCAAGTCCTTGAAAAGACAAATTACATTGGATTTTAATATATTTTTTCAATTGTAATTAAAATACTGCTGTTTTTTTAAAAATATAATTCACACACACTGAGCTACTTGCTATAGATCTGATGAATAAATGTCGGTTTAATCTGGGGGAATAAACATATACTAATGAAATCAAACATCATTCACTACTGTAAGTTCAGCTATAGAGCTCTCCAAACAAGCTGTACAAGCAAATTCCTAATATAAAATATTGATTTCTAATTGTCCTAGATTTCAAGCTATTTCCTCATAACATTGAAAAACTAAGCTAAATATACTTAGTATGTAAAAAACTACAAAAGATTAACTTCACCTCATGTGAACAATCTGTAACTTGTCAAAGCAGTAATATGTCATCATGAATGTGACAAATGGTGCTATATGCAACATGTTTAGCACTTATATTATTGGGTTACAGCAAATTTCAGATCATTCAACAATGTAATGTTACCACAGAGAGTCTTGTTGCTGGAGATATTTAAAACCATTCTAAAGAAAAATACTTATATAGTGAGATTGTTAAATGACTAGAGACAAAGGACAACATTTCAAAAACGGGGATCTTCAATGTTCTCCATAGAAAGAGAAACACTCATATCAATTCAGAGAAATTTCTATATCCAAAAATTGAAGACTAGTCATAAAATAGAATACTCTAATCAAATAAATCCATTGAGATAATGCTGGCTATATATTATTATCAAAATAATAATGATTTTAAGATGATAAAACAACCACATAATTCCTGAAATCAAACTGTTTTCATATAAAATATGGTCAAATAAATCATGCATTTATGTCAATAAGTTTGGTATCAAACTGTAGATTATAATTCAAATTTTAGTACTATATATTACTCAATTTCTTAATTTAAAAGAAAATAATAAACACAGATAAACATCGATTTTTGTGTGTCACGTGGTATGTTGAATACAGCACTGGTTCAAATTAGATGTTTGTGAAGTCAAAATACTAAGTCTATGTTTCGAACAAATTAGAAACTCAAATTACAGATATTGTCAAGCTAGAATATAAAATAAGGGCCGCTTATCTTTTCAATGTGCTAAGATATTGCTCATGCAATGAATCAAACACAGTGGCACCCTGCCCACCTCTTTCCATTTTTGGATACACTCCCTTATATACACTTACTTCTATATGTGACATCTATAACCAATTGGAAGCTCAGAATGTCCCCCTAGTGGCTATCCCAGTATTTCTAACATACCTAATGTTTTGAACGTTCGTAAGTGTTCTGGCCAACTAGAATCTGTAAGGCTGAGAAAAGGGTATGGGATGTTTATTATTAAACAAACTAATTTTCCATCAGTTAAAGAAAAGAATATAGCATTATAACAGAAAAGTGAGATATCTGGCATTAGTACAGTACACTGTTATTAATTAAACTAATTCATCATTCAAAATAATTATCTTTAAACTTCAGAGGCCTGGAATGGCCTAGTGGTTTGGATACTCAACTTGCAATCTGTGGGTTACAGGTTTGAATCCTATCACCAAACATCCTTGCCTTTTCAGTCGAGGAAGTGTTATATTGTGATGTTCAATCCTACTATTAGTTATTAAAGAGTAGGGCAAGAGTTGGTGGTGTATTGTGTACACTAGCTACCTTCTATTTAGACTATCTCTTCAAAATTAGGGAAGGTTAACATAAATAGCCTTCGAGTAGCTTTGATTGAAATTTGTAAACAAACAGATCTTAGATTTCATGTGATAAAATTTGTCCTATTGTGTGATGCGTAATTAATGAACAAAATTCACTCCAACTAAGAATAATGGAGGCAGTACAACATTTATTATTTAACAAGAAAACTTGGGATGATACTAGATGACTTCTTTTCAAAGATTAAAATGATTCATAAGAACAAAAAATCTTTAATTACCAATAATTCAAATCTTTTTTTCTAATTCCATCATCAGCTTGAAAAACTTAGAAATAATTAACAACTTTATAAGTATAAAATCATCATAAGCTTTTGAGCACTAAGTTATTGATATGGATGGAAAGAACACATTAAAATGATTTAATACATTTGCATAACAGGTTGGAAGAAACTATAGTAATGCATGCATTGCTGTACTAATCCAAATTTAAGTGGCACATGATAACAGCCCGACTTTTTTTCAGTGCTTCCTATCTAGCTAGAGATACAATCTTAATTTAACCACAGTTCTGTTCTTTTAAGTAAGTTAGTGATTTAACGGTGTTACATATTGTTAGTTTGTTATTAATCCATGTCAGAATTTCTGATAAAAACAGTTAAATGAGTAAGCCATACAGCAATCAACATTTTCTTTGAGCAAGTGAAAAAATAATAAATATTAACCTTCTGTAACTTGTGCACAAGTAAAACATTAAAAATGAAAATACAATGTAGAATTGTTGCACAGTAAAATTAGATTTTTAATTTTATTGTTTAGCAATTCATCATTATATGCTTGTTTTTAATCTTATGCCGTAACATTTTTTACAAACAAATCTTACCCTAATTAATGCAAGCAACCAAAAATGTTTTAGAGAGTAAGTACTCAAATTCAATCTACAAAAAAGAAAGACCTCAAGAAATATAGTAGATAAGAAAATAATATAATACTTATATTATAGGTTAAAATACTTAGTTTTGAAAGCTATTATTTTTGCCTTATTTCTTTAATATTTATAACTTTAACTCATTTTGTTTATTTTATTATATAAAATATAATTTAGATATATGGATGCACAATATATATTTTACATGGAAAATTTTAAGCATAATTTTATCACATGTAGGAGTTGTAGTATGAGAGTTGTGTTTAACTCAACCACTACTTAAATCTGGGTGAATAATTTGATTGATTAATCTGATCAATTACATATTAGCATTGATTAATGTCACATAAATAACCAACTAAATGAAACTAGTGTTTCTAGTTGTTAGGTCATCAAGAAATTAATGTTGCTTTTTTTGTAGATTAAAAACCCAAGTAACTTGTATATCAAAACAAAACATTTATTAAATGAAATAGTTTCCTTTCGTATTGATAATGCTTTTCCATCTTACAATCAGGTTGTTAATGCCCTTATTAAAGAAATTACCTGGCTTTGAAAAACATGTTAATGTCCTCTTTAACACCTTCCACACTTGCATATGTTTTCCTATTAATATGGTGTTACGTAAAAGATGGTAATCTGGTGGTGCCATATCTGGAGTGTATGGTGGGTGGGGGAGAACTTCCAAACCCAACTCCATAATCTTTTGTTGCGTCAAATGTGCACGTGCATTGTCATGGAGAAGAAGAACATCTTTTAGATTGATGAATGAAAGGCATTTCTGATGAAGGGCTTGATTTAAATGTTTCAGTTGCTTACTATAGATCTCTGCATTGACAGTTCGCTGTGGATTGAGGAGTTCGAAATCAATTACTTCTTTGATGTCCCACCAAATGCAAAGCATCACTTTTTGCAGATTTAGTCCAGGTTTTGAGGTCAGAAGTGGTTTTTGTCTAGAACTGAACCGTTGTTTTTGGCATTTAGTATTCGCATAGAGAATCCATTTTTCATCACTGGTAACAATTCTGTCCAAAAATAGTTCACAAGCATTACACGCCAGAAGAGACAAAGCAATGTTCACACATTGGAAACGATGATCATCGGAAAGTTCGTAAAGCACCTAAACTTCTTCTTTATGGAGTTTTCTTGTATTCCTCAGATGTTTACGTATTGTTTCATGAGAGACATGCAATTTCAGTGCAACTTACGACTGTGTTGCCTTGGGTTAGACTGAACAAGCGTCTTCAGAGCATCAATATCAATTCCAACATGTCGGCCCCTGCTATCACAGTTTTTAAAGCTAAAGTCACCTGAACAAAATTTGCTGAACCATCATTGTTTTTGAATTCCTCCCTACAAGTTTTCACAAGAATATTAAAACTAATTAATTCTTGTTCATGAAAGTAAACATTACATGATGACATTAGTAATAAATCTTAGATTTAATTGAATGTTACCCTTCTATGTGCCCTTTAAAAGTTATTCTCCAACAGTATTAATGGTATGTTCAGCTTCTTACAGGATTTGTGTTACCTTTCATATATGATATTTTATAAAAGTAACTTGATCCTAACTTATTGTATCTAAAGAAGCCTATCATACTAAATGAAAAATGTGTTTAAAAAATTCCAAAACAAGTTGTAAATAGGATTGTCAGTTTCATGTGAGAATAATCACCTAAATGTAGACAAAACACCCAACATAGAAACATTTACTGACATGATTTTTATTTAACAGAATAGGTCCTCAACATAAATTACCCATGAATCAGTACCTAAGTTAAACATGTCATGCATATCTAGCTGTTCATTTTTATTAGTTTGTTAAGTTGGTAAACAGAAAAAAAAGACAATAGCACGTAGTTCAAATCTTTATTCGGCCTTTCAAATTATTATTTTATCTTAAGAATCCAGCATGTCTTCCAAACATTTTTTCAGTTTTGTCTTTTCGTGAGACCATCAGCAATTATGTATGGAAGATACTAGAAAGCACTCATGTTAACCAAGGTAATTGCTAATAATAAAAAAAGGAAGTTTGTCAATTTGCCTCCTAACTAAAAAAAAAAACCCAATAAAATATGCAATAGTAGTTTAGAAAACTTTAAGTATGGAGATCAGTTGATGCTTAACTAATGATCTGTAGCACCTTTAAAAGTTCAAATAATTAATGTGTATTTTATAATTTACTGTTTAATGAAAATTAAATAATAAATAATTACAGTCTTCCCACAGATAAAAAACAAAAACACCCTCTAGTAATGGTCAAAATAGCCAGTAGGGAAAATGAACTACTATTTAAAGGTTCTAACTTACCAGACATTGGCTGAGAATTGGACCACGGTCCTCCTCCTAGCCCTGAAAAGGACCGACAGACGGCCTGCTCCCCCACCCAAAATTTTCAGCCCTAGTGCTTTATCCC